GCTGTGTGTGGCTGTGTGTGTGTGTGTGTGTGTGTGTGTGTGTGTGTGTGTGTGTGTGCGCGCCGCGCGCGCGTGTTTGTGTTTGTAAACATATCCAGTCTAGAAGGCACGTAACGAACACACACATGGCGAACAGATTTTCAAGTCCCGAATTTGCTCTACTACCAGTGTTTCTTTGTGTTTAAAACACGCACATAACGAAATTCGTCATAACGAAAAGATACCCGGGAACCAAGGATTTGGCTATGCGCGTGCTAGACCGTATGTCCATAAAAAGTACGTAGGTATGCGTGTTCATGTGTGTGCGTGCGTTTATGCTTTCAATAGGGTGTGGTTTACTGTTGAGTTCGGGTTTGCGAGATAGAAGTGTCTTTGTGTGTGGGGAGGGGGGGCATGGCATTCTGAGACGGAGGGCCTGACAAATGGAATGATGGACCTTGATCTAAAAGGGCAGAAAGAGAACACAGCATAAAAAGAATGAGAATAGCAAGAACAATCACAGCAAAAAATTTGAATATGTGACACCATGCATGTGCAAACGAGGTGTTCGAACCTTTGATAAATAGAGGGGGCCCATTAATACGCACCATCCTCTTCAGACATGTCTGTCGACACTTCCATCGGCTGTGGGTCGTTAAAAGTGTCCGGAGATATCTTCTTCTTCGGCTCTGAAGTAAATGACGTGTCATGACCTTCGTTGCTTTGTCTTGAGGAGCTCGGCACCAGCTCCCGCAGACTAGGGCCCTCCTTGGTAGTGTCAGTGTTCTCTGGGTTTCTAGAATTGATGGAGGGTATTTCTGTGGCTGTGGTTGGTTCTCCCTTGTTAACTGTCGAACCGTCGGTGTTCTTTTGTGCATTAGCAGTCTTCGAGACCATGTTACGCGAGGAAGCAGGGGTGTGTTTTGAAGAACTGCTTGTCACTTTTCTGTTTGACTGTGGACTGTCACTCATGCTTGACATTAACTCGTTTTTGACCGAGTCCGATGATGAACTAACTTCACTCGACATCTGCGCAGTGCTCTGGGAGTCTCCGATTTCTGCATCGCCATTTACAGCAGTTTGTCTTGACCTGTTTGATGCGTTTGAGTATAGTTCTTCAGTTGCTGTCGTCGTGGTAGTGGTTGTAGTTGTAGTAGTGGTAGTGGTGGTTGTTGTTGTGATCGGATCTGTTATTTCCATGTACGTCTTTCTCAGTCTGTACTCAGCAACCAAATCCAGATCTACATAAGCAATTCGAGGAAGTGCCTGCAAGGAAATTATATAGGAATGTAAATACAAATACTACTCACCATGTGATTTGCCTCATATCTGTATGTACTTATTCGAATTTATTTTGGAGTTAGATAGCAGCTCTATTTCGTCAGCTGTGGTAAATGCAATGTTTAAAATCATGACGTAATGCTGATCTACATTTAACTTGTGATAGTATACGCAAGTCACTTTTTCTCAACAGATTATGAGAAATGAAATGGCTAACCCATGTCTAACTGCTAAGTCCTTGTTGTTAAAAAACCCTCCTACGTTTGATGTTAGTTTCCGCTTCATTGGTGTATAGAATAATGGTATCGTTAGAACGAGATCTGCTTAAATTTGCCTGATTTATTTATTTAAGTCTATGAACTCAAATGGTTGAAACAATGCTAGCGTTTGGAATAACGCTCGTAGCAACAACATATCGTGCATGGACTGGCTAGCCAAAAGATAACATTTTTAAAGACAGTAACAAGGCAGTTTTATATAGACCGCTCACCTTTTTGTCTGGGTAGAAGAAAGAACTGGCAGGGTGGTTGGGCTTCTTTGACGTCACCACCGTGACAGGCTCCTGAGGGTCAGTGGCCCAGTTGGGGGAGGAGAAGGTCAGACCACGGTCAGTGCCAGCATCGTAGGGTTTGAGGTTGATGTGCACCTGTTTTCGCCAGCGGCCACGGGAACACAGGTTCACCTTGCTCAGACCAATGAACCAATCGGGGCTGGGCACAATCCTCATTAAGAAGGACACCTGGTAAGAAAAGGAATGATCGGCGTTGTCATTGACCTTTTTAGTAACAAAATGTGTACATGTAGATAGCCGTTGAAACCGCAGGGTCTCGAATTTGATGTGTGTAAGTTTCAGAGTGCATACGTGTTCATGTATTTGTTTGAATGTATGTATGTATGCGTGCTCGTGTGTGTGTGTGTGTGTGTGTG